GTACTTCTACCGCGCTGCGCAGCGCTGCACTGGGTAATAAAAAGAATATACAACCGTTAGTTGGCGTCCTACACAGGCGTGACGTTTTTACGAACGGGACTTTGCTCTCTTGTTCTATTTATACTCTTTGGTATTAATTAAACGCGTACTGCAGGAGCAAAAATCAGCATACGCACAGCTAACTGTAAATACGCACACGTATACTGATCATATCACTATAGCAACCGCTGATTGCTACAGCAGTTGGTTATAAAAAACTAAAATTAAAAGACGGCGATTGACTTATAAAGCAATGCATCGTACACTAAATGGAAAATTATTATACTTAGGTCAGATTTAATGCATTCAAAAATTTTCTTCGGGCCTTGCAGACCCTCAGGAAATTTTTTCAAGCATAAAATCTGACCTTCGTATAATAATTTTCCTATAGTGTACTATGCGGAGCTCTAGTAATTGCTTAATATTGGACCCCTCATTTTAGCTATTCAGTAGAAATATGCATGATTCCATTTATTCACTGTTTCTACGCTTTCTCAATTATACATGTAGCTCTGTTTAGTAACTTTGCCTCTGTCTCATTAGAGAGTAATACTCTAATACGCCTGAAATAATTTAAATGATGTGATTTTTTTCACATTACGTCTATATCAGCCATGTGCTTGTATTTAGCCATGGTACGGTATTTTTAACAGCAATATTTTTTAAACCATTACTTGTTTGCAACTCATGTGTGACAGGTCTTCTTATGTTTTATCTTCCAGTTATCCAGTCTGTCTTTAAATGATGACTTAATAATACGAGTACGTAGCTTCTCGAATGGTAGTATTATTGCATATGTAAATGTCTATGTGGTAAATGCAAGTACTCCCTATGAAACATTACGCAAGGAATTAAGAATGACAATTGGAAATCATTCTAATGAACTTCTAAATGTTAACAGTATCGTGATAAACAGCACAGGTACGTTTTGTTAAATGTTCTTTAAAAATTTGATAAATAATAGTTCTTCAAACACTGGTGAATAACAGCACTATAATAATATTAGCAATATGAATAGTATTATTGCACATGTTAATAGTGATTTTCAAATAAGCGCTTCTAGACAATACTTCAATCGCACTTAAAATGCACAATTCCTCTAAATCAGTGTGCGTGTTATTCCTAGCTATTATAACCATTAGTTTAATATACATCAAATCGAATTGTTAAATGTATACTCATTTATATTTATGGGAGGATAAAGTGGTTTGCGTAAGGAAATAAATGAAAAGCCAGCGTAAGACTCGGCAATTATTTATAATGTTTATTACGCTTCATTTGCTATTATTGTTTTTAAACAGAAACGTGTCATGGAGGGGTTTATGAAGGATACACCTATCCTGATGCAGGAGTTGGGGAAACTGTAAATTCAACAGAAAATTGTGATGACAAAAAACTGAATTGTACGACCTGTAATTTAGCTTACATAAATATACAAACATACATATTATAATATATATATATACATATATATATATATATATATATATACTTATATATATATGTATATATATGTATATGTATATATATATGTATATGTATATATATGTATATGTATATATGTATATGTATATGTGTATATATGTATATATGTATATGTATGTATATATATGTATATGTATGTATACCTATATATATATGTATATATGTATATGTATATGTGTATATATGTATATATGTATATGTATGTATATATATATGTATATATATGTATACCTATATATATATGTATATATATATGTATGTATACATATGTATATATATGTATATATATGTATATATATATGTGTGTATATAGATATATATCTATATATATATAAGATGAGTACGAATGCACAAAGTAGAGTCGTACACGTTGACATAAATAGACATAAGATATTTTTTTTATTTCGAATATTTCGAGCACGCCTGTGCTCTTCCTCAGCGATAACACGTATGATTAAAAAAGCTTTACAAACTAGCAATGTGGGATAAACAATATAGCAGTGACTAAGATAAATTGTAAATGATATGTATAATTAGACCGGATTATAAAGTATATATATATATATATATATATATACATGTGTATATATACGCATATAAAGTCGTATATATAGAGAGAAATAGAAGCAGACAAATAATCTGGTACAACCCACCATATAGCAAAGGGGTTAAAACCAACATCGGAAAATCATTCCTTAACCTCGTAAAGAAACATTTTCCGAGTGGCAACATTTTGCACAAGCTGTTCAAAAAGAACAATGTTAAAATCAGCTATAGCTGCTCAAGAAACATGGGCAGCATAATCAGAGCCCACAACAAACAGCTTCTGGTTGCTAAGCATATATATGTATATATATATATATATATATATATATATATATATGTATGTATATATGTATATATACATATATGCATATACATGTATGTATACATATATGTATATACATAATGTAATGTATTATTATGTCCTTTATTCGAACACTGTATTTACCTTTCTTTGATGATTTATATATAATTTAACAGTGTTAACGGCTATCTTGATTTATATATATTTTATATGTATATATATATATATATATATATATATATATATATCTATATATATATATAATGCATTTATATTGCGCCCTCTATCTAGGTAAACCTTTTCCGAGGGGCATAAAAACATACTGAACATGCAAAATTAAAAAAAATATTAAGATCCAAAAAATAAAAAATAAACAAAGAGGTATTAAGAGATAATAATACTACATTATAAAAAATACCGTGTCACAAAAAACAATTATTAAAGGCAATTTGAAATATTTGTGTTTTAAATGTCTCTTTAAAAAATCGACCAAACTGCCTCTGCGGAGTTCAGGTGGATACATTAAAATAGTGTCTTTTTTTTTCTTTTTTCTTTTTTTTTTTTGTTAAAGATTTTCTGCCACACTCTAACCGAAGTTGTGATGGCGACGGATTTAGTGCAGCTGAATGGAACAACCCTATAAAGACGGATTGTGGACCAGACGCTACTGCCGAACAACTGCTAGAACGTTTAAAATCGGTAGTGGCATAATGTATTAAGTTGCTGAATCATGTTTCATGTTGTTTCAAACGTTTGTAGAAATATTGTGGAAAATATTAATTAAATTAAAATTAAAAACTTATAATATTAACTGTTTAGTTTTGATACCTTAATGATTTTAGAAAGGAGTCACGATGGCAAATGTTGAAGACGTCAGCACCGAAGTAGAGAATATTACAAGTAATGCAGAAGAGATCACCGTGAATGCTTTAGAGTCAACCGCTGAAATATTAAAAGACATTTTAATAACTGGTTCTAATTCTACTAAGGTATATGCAATATCAATAATAATAATGCAAATTACAATTATATAAACAGCTAACACAAGAACAGTTATGGAACTGAAACTTGGACTCAGGTCAGGTTTATTATTGAGAGCTAGAATTCGTTCACGTATTGCGAAATGATGTGAAATTCCTTTGGATTGTAATATTATTATAATTATTATTGTTACAATAATACTGTTATAATAATAATATAAAATTATTATTATTATTATTATTATTATTATTATTATTTTATTATTATTATTATTATTATTATTATTTTATTATTATTTTAGTATTATTATTATTATTATTATTATTATTATTATTAATTTATCATTATTATTATTATTATTATTATTATTATTATTATTATTATTATTATTATTATTATTATTATTATTATTATTTGGCTTTTCCCAGCAGTAATAGCAGTAGTAAAATCCATTGTTTTTGCTCTGATTTTTTCTTTTTTCTTCAATCGTTTTTCCTATGTTTTTCAAAGGATCTCCCCGTCCGGTACATTTATCACCTTTCCATGCTCGGATCTTTTTTATATTTGTCGAAGCATAGACTATATATCATCAGTGTTGGCGCCAGCGGGGGAGCCTGGGAGTCAAATTTTAACCAAGTTACAAGGAAAAAAAATACTATCCCCGAAATACTTTCGATACCTTCGCAGGCCGATTTTTTTAGTCAACCTGGGTCAGGCTAATTCGCCCACTCAATTCGTGACTTTTGTAACTCACGATAGAGTGAGTAGAATAAAAACCATGGTATAAAGCAAACATTATGTTTAGCTTCCAAAATGCGAAACTAAGCACCTGCGATAGTTTCTGATTTGCACGAAATCTCTCGTTGCAGTCACGTGGCCTCACCGTAACGGCAACAAAAATGGCGCCGCCTTTACTCGAGTTCAACTGTAATAATCCTCCAAAGGAAGCAGATTTTCAGTGACTGTCTAAATACTCTATCGTAATATGTTAACAACTGAAATTAATCAAGCGAATGATGGTCTATAATGAATTATGAGGAAATAAACCACAGACGGCAGCTTAATATTCATCGGCGTTACCAGATCTCTAAAATTCCGTCTGCTATTAAAGTCCGCCCTTTTTAATAATTCATTTGATAACCGTGGCATGCCAGTCGTCTTCAGTTGAACTAAAACTAGGGCTTAAGCTAGTCGTAGTTAAAATTTCGACTACGTTGTTTGTGAATACAAATTGAAGTTGAAGTTACATATATGACTAGATGAAGTTCTAAATTGAAGTTCGACTAAAGTTTTAAGAATGCGGGTGTATGTTGGTGACGATCGAATTGAGGGTGTAAATGTGTCAGTCATTTTAATTTCTGACTTCAACACCTATACCTCTAAAAACTTTATTAATGGGTTAATGAAACTTTAAAGAAATGATTAAATTTTTGTGACGATCCGGAGTAAGGTTTGGATATAAGGACCATCCGACCATTCAATGGAAAACGTTGCAGATCAGATCAACTACAAGGAATAAATTAAGTGTTGTTGACGATGAAATCTAGGGTGTAAATGTGAGGGTTATTTTAGTTTCTAACATTCCAGACCTAAACATCTCAAAGACTTATCAATGCATCTAAATGAAACTTTCTATCAGATTATCAATGACTAGTAAAGAAATGATTAAATGTTTGTGACGAAAATCATAATTTAAATAATAATAAATAATTTACCACTGTACTTTTCGTAGCTTTACTTTTTAATGGTTTAACTGTAATAATGAATTGTAAACTTTTATCCTTTTTAATTGACTTTTTAACATTGTGGAATACATCTTTTTATCATGTTTCTTATGGAATTTTAATGGTTGTACTCTAATATTGAATTTTCAATTTTAATCTATTTTAATTGACTTTATTATTCTGTAATGCGTCATTTGAACATATATTTATAAGTGAATAAATTATTATTGTTATTATTATTATTATTATTTTATATAATATTACCTTATTATTTTCATAATTAATATTATTATTATTATTATTATTATTACGATCCTATGTAGGGTGTAGATATAAGAACAATTAAACCGAACTAGTTGTTTCAAAAACGGAAAAAATCATCCAAATGAAACTTTTGGGAAAGTTAAATCAATTTACAAAGAAGTTATTAAACTTTTGTGACGATACCGATTTAGTTGTGAAGTTTTGGGTAATTTTAAGTGATAACGTTTCAGAACTACAAATCTCAAAAACTGACAAATGAATCAAAATTAAACTTTACGGAATGGTCTGTCATGGTCTACTAAGAAATGATAAAATGTTGGTGACGAGCCGGAGTAGGGTGTGCGCATGAGGGACATATAACGGTAGACGTGCCAGACCAGATATGCCAAAAACTGATCAACTGATCTGAATGTAACTTTCTGGAACTTTAACCATAGAATTACGATAGAAGAATGTTATAAATCTTAGTGACGATTTACATTCGGGTCTCAATTTCAGGGTCATTAAACTGCTAACGCTCTAGACCTAAATATTTCTTATATATGGATCAAAAGAAAACTTTCCAGAATAGTGTTTCATAGTCTCCAATGAAGCAAGGCAATTCAACAGAAGGACGCACATCTCGGGACTTCAAAGGTTATAACTCTGGCATCGACATTCCCTACACGCTGAACGTCACAAAAACCATATCAACCAGGCCATAAACCGTCAGCGTACGTGACGATTTACTCACGCGCGTGTTAGTTGCCGTGATAATCGCGCGTCATGCGGTGATTACAAAGGCCTAATGATATTTTGTACTAACATTAGACTGAAATTATATTCTTCATTTCAACATTAATTTTACCAAAATTGTGGTGAATTGTCGTTCATGAGACTCACTTCGCAGAAAAAATTAATAAATGTTCTGTATATACTCAAATGTTCGTTTTCGACACCTTATGCCAACATTGTCAAAATAACAGATTACTATTACATAAGAACATGAAATTTTATAAAATTCGTAAATTTTAAATTGCTATAACTTTTCATTTTCTCGATCAATTTTCACAAATCAAATTGTAGTTTATAGAAGCATTTAACAAGCTCGCGGTCAAAAAAAATCAGATGTAACAGGCATTGCGAAGTACCCAAAATTAATAAAGTAAAAACTAACACCATGAAACGAATGGCACGCATAGACTAATAATTGACGGCTGTACTCGCAACTAGTATCGGATTGTCGATGCCACAATAAAGATCAAAGGACTGTACGCACGCGCTATGTTCGAGAGCGGAGATGTGCGTCCTTCTGTTGAATTACCTTGAATGAAGTAATTATTATTATTTGGTGACGATCCGGAGTAGGGTGTTGATATGATGACCATTTAATAAGCAATTAGTAGTGCTCCGCATAGTACACTACAGGAAAATTGTTATATGAAGGTTAGATTTATTGCTTGAAAAAATTTCCTAAGGCCTTCAAGTCCCGAAGGAAATGTTTGAATGCATTAAATCTAACATAATAATTTTCCGCTAGTGTACGATGCATGCTTTACAAATTGCTTTATAAGTCATTTACCGTCTTTTAATGTTAGTTTTGACAAGACAATTTGCTTTGGTTCTGATAACCAACTGTTGCAGTCATCGGTTGGTATAGTGATATGATCAGTATACTGTGTGCGTATTTACAATTAGCTGTGCGTATGCTGATTTGTGCTGCTGCAGTACGCGTTAAGTACACATCTGAGCAGTTAATCGGTAAAATATGAATTATTATTATTGTAACTGTGTTAGAAGAACTTGCTTGTAATGCTATTTTGATAGACATTCGTCGAGGAAATAGACATTTCTTAAAGCATTCGAGAGAGAATACAGTCACTGACTTTTTGGTCAGTACAGACAGGTAATAATTGCGCGATGATTTCATGACTACGCTAGCTACGGGAACCCGGACGCCCTTTATCTTTGGAGTTCATTGATTAATTGAATCATTTTCAAGGCGGGGAGGACCTTGAATTTTGAAGAATTTAAAAGTCATTAAAAGACACCACAGAAGTCGGGAAAGCTCATTTCCCGCCACCTAAGAATCAAAATTTTCCCGAGAAAGAACCACAAGATCTCCCCACCCCTTTCTTTTTGGGATTTATCGATTCATGGAAAAACTACGTATGCAAATTATTCAATCTTTTTTGTGTATGTATATACACACATAAGGCCTAATTACTGTAATAACAATGGGAAAAAATTATCTGACCGTTTTCAAGAGTGAAAAACCTTGAATTTGTGTTCCCCTCTTGAAAATTTTATAATGAATCAATGAACCCATAGAAGGGAGGTTCGAGTTCTTCCCGGGAAAATGTTGATTTCTAAATGGTGGATAATGAGATTTCCCGAATTCTGAAGTATTTGTTAATGACTTTAATTTAAAGGACACTTCAGAAGTCGGGAAAGCTCATTTCCCGCCTTCTAGGAATCAAAACTTTCTTGGGGTGGACCACAGACCCTCCTTTCTTTTTGGGATTCATCTCATGGAAAAAATCGTATGCAACTACTCGATTTTTTTTTAATGTATGTATACACACGTAACAGGCCTATTTACCATAATAAGAAAGTTTACCTTACCGTTTTCATGAGGGGGAAAACCTTGAATTTTGAAGAACAAAGTCATTAGACACCTAGCTCAAAAGTCGAGAAAGGTCATTTCCCGCCATCTAGAAATCAAAATTTTCCCGGGAGAAGAAATGTTGACCCCCACCACCTAGACTTGATCGGATTTGATTAAATTATGTAAACGAAATTCCCTTTTTCTAATGCGTTTAAATCAACTGTAGGTAGGTTAATCGCAAACTTATTGTGATATGCATGAATAATTTTCGCTTTCAATCACTGAATTACTATGAATTACATATGCACTAACCTATGCAGAGTCGCCTCATACCACGCAACGTTTATGCGCCTCCATATCACCCTTGCTTTTACCATTACAGTTACAGTTCGAGTCTCACTAACGTCGAGTTAATCGTTAAGTTGATTGTCATCGGACACACACACACAACACTCAGTATGAAAATTATGCAACATAGATCAGCTATCAGGCATCTAAGCTTGATCAACCAGTAGCCGAGCATTTTAAATTCAGCTGGTCATTCAATTGCAATTTTGCAAGTTATACAACTTACTATAATTCCAGTTGGAGCGACAGAAGTCGTAAGGATAAGGAAAACCGAAACCACCCTTCGTTCTCCCAGTACACTAATTTGATCCAATAACATTCCATATTTTCCAAAATCAATTTCCAAAAAAAAAAAAAAAAAATATGCTGTGTTGCCCTTCGCGACCGACCGAAATTTTCAAAAAAACTTCGGGTCGGCATTTTTTTTTTTTTTTTTTTTTTTTTTTATTTTGTTTAAGTACAAATTCGAGAAATACCCTCCGAAATTAACATTTAGAACATCTGAAATCTGAAACAGGCATGTATTTTTATCAAAATCGGGCCATATTACAGTATATGTACTGTCTCTTATACACATCTTCCCGAAGGAAATGTTTGAATGCATTAAATCTAACATAATAATTTTCCGCTAGTGTACGATGCATGCTTTACAAATTGCTTTATAAGTCATTTACCGTCTTTTAATGTTAGTTTTGACAAGACAATTTGCTTTGGTTCTGATAACCAACTGTTGCAGTCATCGGTTGGTATAGTGATATGATCAGTATACTGTGTGCGTATTTACAATTAGCTGTGCGTATGCTCAAGGGTCTATCTGTCTCTTATACACATCTAGATGTGTATAAGAGACAGTATATTATATATATAATTTTCCATTTATTATTTTTCTTTTTTATTTTGGAGGGTAGAGGGGCCAAGTCGGCTGTTTTTCCATTGAATCCGCCGCCTATAGGAATTAGATAGGGGACATAGAATAAGCGATTAACATGGAGACTTTCGGGAAATATAGAGATACATTTTGGAGGGTAGAGGGGCCAAGTCGGCTGTTTTTCCATTGAATTCGCCGCCTATAGGAATTAAATGGAGGACATAGAATAAGCTATAAAAAACGAAGACTTTAGGCAAATATAGAGATATATTTAATTTCTATGACGTATCATTGAAAATTAAACTTTGAAGTATAAATTAGAGGCGTGACCAACTCCCCTAAAATACGTATGGGGAAGTGTTTCTCTGTCCCTCTTCCCCATAATCTGCGCACATGACTTCAACATAACGTTTGATATATTATTTTTTTTCACAAATTACTAATTCGTAATGTTAAAGATGTGTTGTCTACTTCAAAATAGCAAACCACATTAAGTGACTGGATGTGTTTCTACCATTATTCGTTGTACAATTATGGGTTAACATGATATAAATCCACCAATTTCTACGTTCAATTTGATAATTTTTATGTTATTTTACAATGAGCAAATCCATTTAAAAAAATAATTTTTTAAATGATTTTTTTGAGAATATTTGCCGTGGTTCGAAAGCCTCAGTATTAATTTATTCCGGAATCGACCACTGAGGTTTAATTGGATGAAACCATAAACAGTAACGCAGATGTATACAGTAACACAGGTAGTCACCATCCGTAACAAATAAAAAACCCATATAATATATAATATCATAGTCATAAATATTATGAATAAATAGATATATCATTATCACAGTAAAACAACTGCAACAATTAAAGCCCCATTCTCAGCAAAATTTAAAAAAAAAAGATTTTTTTTTTATAGAAAAAATGCATATGCATTACTCTATTTAGTATAAACATTTTATTTTATGACTTACTCCATGCAACAATATTAAAGATCTTGTTCCTCTGTTTAAACCAAAAACCAGAACCAACCAGAAAACTCCCACCTTGGTTTAATCTTGAATTATACAAAGCTTTAAAACTTAAGGAAAAATGTAAAATTAAAAAAACTCGGTTTGCTGTTAAGATTTTAAAATGGCCAGAACAAATTTTAAGAAACTTTGTAATCAGCGGTACAGACAGTAAGTTGATGCCCTTTCAAACGATCTAAACATCAATCCTAAAAGATGTTGGTCTTATATTAGAACATCACAGAAGTCATCAACTTTGCCCTCTGTACTTCATTATCAAGGTCAAGTACATGACACCTCTTTGAAAAAAGCTAATGCTTTTAGTATCTACTTCAACTCATTTTTCAATAATACTAATAACAATAATACATCTCAGCAGTCACAATTATCTGAAGCTCCTGATTTACCTGAGTACCCCTTGGACTATCTTTCATAGATAACCGTCAGTGCTGATGCAGTTTCAGGTCATAAATAAGCTTTGTGTACATAACGCCGTTGGCTGTGATGGTATCAGTAACCATTTGCTTAAAGCTGATTCTGTTCCGCTTTCTGTTCCCTTAAAAAAAACTATATTGTTTTATCTCTTTCCACTGGCAAATTTCCTGATGTCTGGAAACAAGCAAATATTTGTCCCATTTTCAAGGGGGTTCCCGTAATGAGATTACCAATTACCGCTCCATTTCACTGCTCCCTAGTCTTTCCAAAATATTTGAACGTATCAAATTTTTTCCCATGTTTCTCCTGTTTTAAGTTCATTTCAACACGGGTTTATTCCAGGTAGGTCAACTCAATCTAATCTTGCTAGTTTTTTACCCACCACACTTAATGCAATCAACTCTAAACTACAATGTGACATTATATTCACAGATTTTTTCCAAAGCTTTTGACTGCCTTTCCCATTCTCAACTTATTTTTAAAATTTAAAAATTTGGTATCACCCGTCTCCTTCTTAGCTTAATTTCTGATTATTTCTCTAATCGCAGTCACGTGTGGTTATTGGCGGTTTTTGTTCTAATTCCAAACCCGTTCCATCTGGCGTCCCCCAAGGGTCTATCATTGGTCCATCATTTTTTAATTTATTCATTAATGATCTTCCTAATTTAGGCAATAACTCGCACTGCCTGATGTAGCAGTTGTCCTCTGTCGAGTGAAGACGTGCTGAGTGAGCTCGCTAGGCTGAATGGTTGTCACTGTGCTGACTAGTTCAATCCGGTTGATGCCCAAATGACCCATTGGGTAAAACTACATCCAGGGCCTAGCTGTGTAATGTTAGATGATAACTTCAACTGGATTCTTATAAACTGGAGTTACCATTCAATGATGAATTCAAGTACTAAGAGTTATATTTTAGCATTATTATTTTGCATTACTTCACTGACTGTTGCCGGCGACGTTCAGTTAAATCCAGGCCTTGCACCTTGATCCACAGAAAGCGTACGTATGCAAAACAAAGGTATTTGCTTTGCACACCTTAATGTAAGATCTCTTTATTACAAAACGGATGAACTTGCAGTTCTAATGTCGCAGAATGGAATTGATATTCTTACAAGTTAGTGAAACCTGGATGAACGATGAAATAGCTGATAGCGAAGTCGAAATTCCTGGATATGATTTTTATCGGCATGATCGTAATCACCAGGGGAGTGGCGTTGGAATTAATGTTGAGTCAAAATACCAATGAATTTATGTTAAGTCAAAATACCAAACTGATCTGATTTGTAATAATGCAGTGCCTGGTCTGGAGACCTGTTGGATTTATTTACCACTCTCTGGCACTAGTCCTATTGCTATTGGTGTGTCTAACAAGCTCCCCAGTAATTCAGTTGCTTTTTTGGTGCAATGGAAGCAAGTCTAGCTGACATATCTGCTCAATATAATGAGATAATTTGCTTGGGGGATTTTAATTGTGACGCTTTAGTAAAATCTGGTCACTTGTGGACCAAATTGTCACAATTAATCAACCGGTACAATTTCCTCCATTTAAATAATGAGCCAACACGTATTACGCCCGATTCTGCAACATGTATTGATCAGAATTGTATCGTTAATCATGGATTATCCCGACAACAATCAGTGATCATGAATGTGTCCTTACACTGCAAGATACGAGGTGAACCTAAAATAATTCAACGAAGGTCTTTTAAAAATTTTAATGATCAAGATTTTCAAAACGAGTTGAACACTACTCCTTGGAATATATTAGAATCAGCTAGGATGTGGACGAAGCTCTTTTTTATTTCGAGTCTATTTTAGCGATGTTTGTAACAACCATGCCCCTGTTATAAATATAAAAGTTTCGACAATTTCCCTCCCTGGATTAATCAAGATTATCTCGCGCTCCGCAAAGAGGCCAATGTAGCTAAACAAAGAGCCAGACGCTCCAATGACTTAATTAATTGGGAGTTGTACAAGAATATTAGAAACAAATTGAATAATTTGAGAACAAGCCATAAGAAAAATTATTTTAAGACAATAGATAGGATCCAAAAAAAACTTTGGAAGACACTCAAACAGTTGATACCCAGTACTAAGTACAATAATATTTTAAAGTTTTTAACTGGTGATAATAATGAGAAAATAACAGATGCAAATGAAATAGCTGAACATTTTAATAACTACTTTTGTACTATTGGTGAAAATGTAATTAATGATTGTGTTAATTTTAATTTTGATGTTGACCAAATTACTTTTTATGATGTTTCGAATTATAGTGATAATCTTAATATTAATGATAATAATAATGACAATGATATTATTAATGTTAATGATAATGTTATTTTTAAATTTAATGATGATGATAATGATAAGGATAATACAATTATAATAATCTAAAGTTTAATAACATATCAGTTAATGATGTTGAAAATGCTTTGTCCGAACTTAAAACTAATAAATCTACTGGTTTTGATGGTCCAAGGCTTTTTAAGGCAGCTGCACCATCTATTGCAAAAAAAATTGCGTATTTTTTAAATTTGTTTATTGCCCAGGGTGAGATCCCATCTCAGTGGAAGCTGGGGAAGGTTATTCCTCTACATAAGGGCGGTCCTAAAGACAAGTGTGAGAAATATAGACCAATCTCCATCCTGCCTACACTACTGAAGATTCTTGAACGCCATATACACACCCAATTGTACTCATACCTTTGTTAAAAAATTCTTTTGTCTCTCCATCAATCTGGTTTCCGCCGCCTTCATAGCACTACGACATGTTGTTACTGACTATAGGCCTATTCTCGATAACATCGACAAGGGAATGTTGACAGGAGCAATTTTTCTTGACCTCAAAAAGGCGTTTGACACGGTTCATCATCCCACTTAACTTTAAAAAAAACTTTCAAAATTTGGACTTGGAGAGATTGAGCTGAAGTGGTTTGACTCCTACCCTTCGGGTAGAAGGCAACTCACTTACGTCAATAATGTTAACTCTTCCCAAGCTTCCATTCGATGTGGGGTCCCCCAAGGGTCTATTTTAAGACCCTTATTATTTATTATCTCTATTAATGATCTCTTTAATCTTATTCATCCATGTACGCTGAATATACAGCAATATTTTTTTTTTCTAAATATTTAATTGACATTCCAAACAACCTTCAACATGACATGGATTATGTGAGTGATTGGGTAAAAGCCAACAAACTAACCTTAAATGTGAATAAAACTAAATCGGTCCTGTTCGGATCCAGTAGGAAATTACGTGGTGCAGCCGATCTTAACATCACTGTTGGCAACTCCGCCATTCAAGCTACTGATAGTTTTAAATATTTGGGAATTTGGCTTGACCCTTCCTCTCCTGGAATGCCCATGTTGATAAGCTTAGTAAAAAGTAAGTAGTAGGATTGGTATGCTCGGGAGAATTCGTTGTTACATTGATATAAATTCACTTAACTTTATAAATCTCTTATTTTGCCATTATTTGATTATGCAGATATTGTGTGGGCTAACTTTAGTAAAGGATTAGCAAATAATATTCAAATACGACGGAATAGAGCTGCCGACTTATCTTGAAAGCTGACATTAGAACTAATAATTATTAATTTGCATCAATCCCTGGGGTGGTCCATTCTTTCTGAAAGGAGAGAGAAACATATATTTAATTTGGTCACTAAATGCTTGAATAGCGGAGTTCCCATCTATTTAATTCATGTGTTCACCCCCTTGGACAGAGTTCACAATCACAACACCAGATCCAGCCTGGCGAGGTGTTTTGCCCTTCCTCCGACCAGAACTGAAGTTGGCAGAAAACGCCTTGTTTTCCGAGGCAGTGTTATTTGGAACTCTGTCCGAGGGGATCAATGACTCAACTATTTTTATAATTTTTTTTTTATTATTAAATGTTTTTAATTGGATTTATTCATTTTTTTTATATATCTATATATTTTTTATATTTTTATAGGCTATTTTAAATTTTTAACTGTTGGTAGTTAAGAGTTTTATTGTTGATCCTAGGCCCTGTGGGAGTGTTCAATACTGAACAGGCCACCCAGGTTAAAGAAGAAATAAATAAATAAATGAAAATACGCTGATGATCTGAAGGTGTATCGTATTATCGGGACTGAGAGTGACGTCAAGGGTCTTCAGGAAGACCTTGATTCTGTTGTTGCATGGAGTCGGCACTGGGGTCTTTCAATGTCTCCAAATGTAAACCAATGTTTGTTTCTCTTAAATTGAAACCTTTATAATTTCCTTATAAAATTTGCGATATTGTTTTAGAAAAAGTTTCTGTTCATCGCGATCCTGGTGTCTTCATTAAGCTTAAATTTTGTAAACATATTGATCATCTTATTCGTAAGGGATACGGAATGCTTGGGTTTATTTGGAGACATTGCAGAGAAATAAATAGCTCTGGTGCCTTTATTGCCTTATATCGTTGTTTAGTTACTTCTCATTTTGAATAATATTGCTGTTATTTAGTTCTGCTTCCAAATCTCAGTTAATTCGCATCAATAGAATGCATCTTTAAGTTTATTAGGTTTTTTGGGAAATGTTTTAATCGCCCTTGTAAATTAATGTGTCCTAGGAATAGATTTTTAATTCACGATATGGTTTTTCTCTATAAATGTGTTAATTCGTGTTTTAGTTGTGATCTTATACATCTGTTTGGTTTGCATGTTAATTCTAGAAGCCTTCGTTCCTTCCCTACCTTTAATGTCCACTTTTTTAGAGTTGATGTCTGTAAACTCTCTTATTTTAACCTCTAATATTGACATTTTTTTCACAATAGTTTGTCTATATTTCGTTCTATTATTATTAATCATTTAAATAGGCCTAGGTGAGATTTTTGATTTTTTTGTGATTTATGTATGTATTGTTGATATATTTAAATTTAATATATTTTACCAACATGCTAGTGGCGATGATTCGCTGTTGGTCTGTTGAAATGAAATTAAAGATTTTTTTTAACAACTGAAATCTTGCCGGTAATGGGGCTTTAACAAATTAATTATAACATAAGCATTCACAATTCAAATAAACTCATTATAACATTGCCACTTAAATGTCATTACACTACTGTACTACATTATGTATATATATATATATATATATATATATATATATATATACAATATATATATATATATATATATATATATATATATGTATGCAGGATTATATATATGCTGTCTCTTATACACATCTAGATGTGTATAAGAGTTTAGGTCTGTCTCTTATACACATCTAGAGGTGTATAAGAGACAGCGCCATCACAGGACGAAACTAGACGTATTAAAATACAGATTAATTAAGTCATTGCTAAACACATACATTATACCTATGTTTAATAGTAGATTCCGTCTGTGTTCTTATGCCAAGACAGACCAGAATACCAACTAGGCATATTAATTAACAGTACTTTTATACGTTATTACCAATTAAATAATTATATAAATATATAAATTTAACTAGTAAGTCATTATAATCAATCATATTACTGTATATTATAATCGGAAACAACAAATTAGAAATATATAAGGTTACTCACTGTTATTCAAAGATTCATCTTAACAAAAAAATAAACATCCGAAAAAACCTCTCCGATCCATCACATTTGTATGACACAATACCATAAAATCTCGATTTTTAGCCCCAAAATAATTTTGAAATGAACTTGACGTACAAATTATTAAATTGAGCATAGAGATTATTGAATTTAATTAAAGTAGGCCTATATCCTGATTTTTATACTGAATAATGATGATAATAATAGCAAACCACATCCAGTGACTGGAAGTATTTTTATCATTATTGGTTGAAGAATTACGGGTTAACATTATATAAATCCACCAGTTTCTACGTTCAAGTAAATAATTTTTATGTTACTTCAGCAAATTCATGCTGCATTTTTGGCCGTTAACAGAAATGGTCCATGGCAACCGACTTTTGGAAAAAAAAAACTCGGGTTATAAATTCTGCTGGTTTGTTGAATAGCGATGTATTCTTAAAATATTTATTACCAGTGAAGCCCATGAGATGAAGTGGGTGATTTTAATGGGTTTACGTTGTTAACTCTCTTGTTAACTCCCAATGGACAATCTTAAAACAATTAAAGTTAAGTTTATGGTGCTGCTGACAGCTCCCTCTGAACCATTTGACAGCTCACTCTCAACCATCAGACAACATGGACCATTTCTGCTAACGGGAACTTTTGCCTCATGTCATTTAATTTTTTTTTTTTTATGATTTTTTTTGAGAATTTTGTATGACACAATACCATAAAACGTCGATTTTAAGCCCAATAGGCTTAATCTCGAGAAGAAGCCCATCTCGAATACTTAGTTTGCAAAATTAGCATTTTCAAGATAGCGTAGGCTTCTTTTCGAGATAGTACAGCGATACACTGTACTTACACTGTGGAAGAAAAAAAAAATTAAGAACACGCTTGGTGTTGCAGTAGTTTAGGTGATTTAATGACAGTTAATACACTCGATGATACATATTGATGTTTTATAGTACAAATTTTCAAAATGTACAGCATTATTTTTGAAAAGAAACCTCTCTTTACTTTATTAAAGTAGCCTCGAAAAGAAGCCCATCCAAAATACACATAAAAAGGAAACCTAGGGCTTCAATTCGAGGTTTTATGGTATATCTGTAACCAGAGTTATAAGTACGTAGCTTGTCACGGTGTATAAAAATGCTTATTGAAATCGTTGCGCTGTGATGTATATCGCATATACTATAAGTATGGGTTGCTACTCAAATTGTCATTGATGCTTTCTCAGAGAAATAAGAACACTTTACGATTTACTTTTCTATTTCATAATGAAAAATATCAGACTAACTTGAAATAAATTCATCTGGATTCAAACTAATGCTTAGAAACGTAGTATGTGAGTAAGAAGTACGACTCTTTATTGTGATATACATTATACATATCATGTTAATTATTGAATTCAGAAAAAAAAAACATTTGTTTAATGCTATGCCTACGTTCAAGTTTATTATTTTACATGTGACAAAAATAAAACATTTATATAGTAATTATTTGTTCTCTGTTATTATACTTTCAGATTTCCGTATTGTAATTATTGTGTACAATGACAGTAGATTGTTCCAGTCAGCTCAGTTTGTTAATGATAGTTCAGGTCGCAGGCCGAATAGTCAAGTTATTTCTCTGTCGGTGCCTGAACTAATTAACCGTACTGAGCTAGATGAGCCCATTGTCATAACGTTCATTCCACTAGAGGTAATTTTGTGATTTTCTGCAAATAGGATACAATGTATTTGGGTCATTTCTGGTAATTCCGTGACCGTGGAGTGGTTACTTCGTTTTTCAGTGGATTTGTTTTTCTTGAAGGTTGAATAATAAATTTAGAGGGGGTGTCCCTCACAAAATTAAAGGCATTACCCGTGAAAGCCTTAAATCCAAAATGGCCAGATTCTGCCATTTTGGGAAAAAAAATCAGTGTTTTGGCCTACATGGCTGGTTTAGTGCATGGATGTGAATTTTGGAAGTCCAGGAATTCATTTTACCTATTTTTGACCTTCGAATACAAGATGCCACTGTTTCTTCTTCAAAAACCTCATATTTTTGTAAATATGTCATAGTGCCTTTATAAAAGGCTTTAATGAAAGCTCATCATGCTGATTTGGCTGTGGAACTACAGAGGTCATCTCATGGATTAAAGGTCAACATCTGTGGTTCATAAAAAAAAATAAGGTTTTTGATTCTGGTTATAAAATTTCAGTGTAATGGTCATAATGGTTATAAAATTCCAATGTAATGTACTGTTAATTGATATTTGGTGTCCAATTGATTTTTAACGATCACATTTAAAAATGTTGCTGAGGTCATGTTGGAGGTCAAATGTTAACATTTGTTGTTAATAGAATATGAAGCTTTCAGTTCCACTGATTATAAAATTCCAGTGTTCTGTATTATTAGTATCCAGGAATTTATATTTGATGTCTGCTTGATTTAGGTTTGACCTTCAAAACTAAAATGCTGCTGAGGTCATTTTAGGTGTCAAACATTTGTAGTTAATAGAATATAATATTTAGTTACATTTTTGTTTTTATTCCAGTGTACTGTACAGTTAATATCTAGGAGTTCGTATGAGGTCGGATTGATTTTTAAGGTGTGACCCTAAAATCCAAGAATTCTGCTGATTTTCAGCTCACATGGTCAAATGTGCAAATTTGTCTTATGTAAAAATTACACAGAGCTCATCTCAGAAGCAGGTTTCAAACGTTGGCTCTCTATATGGTAACAGAATCTCTTTTTATACAATGAGTGTATTAGCAACCATTGGCATGTATAATGAGTCATAGTACAAATCACTGGTCAATTAATGATTAAGGTACAGTCTGTACCACAGTTATTATAACACTAAATCATTTTCCTGAATTAACAACTAAAAAAAATGAGTGATTATTAAAAATAGGTTGCTACTCTTCATCCAAATCTGTTGATTCTCCAAGCTCACTGTCATTATTGTTTCTAGTACTCTCATCGTTGATCGTCTAAATAACACAGACAGTCACTAACACATGATTCTGTAAGGAAATACAAGGTAACTGTAGTACCAAAATGTTGTTATCAGATTTATGACTGTTCACGGAATATTTAACAGTTTTAAATGCCCGTCCGTGTGACGCCAAATACAGTTTTAATATTTATTATCAAATAACTAAAACAAAATATCTATCAAAAAAGAATGTTTTTTTTTTACTAACTTTGATATATCTGCTTTGAGAGTTAGCCAAAATTTATATAAATAATTGAAAATGAAAATTTAACCCTCACGGACCAAATACCATGGAATGTCCCTTAATATCTATTTATATAGTCATTTTAAAAGATAATCCACAATAGAATGTTGTTATATCTCGTATCGTTGCTTCTGTCTTTGTGACTCCCACATTGTTTTCACGTTTGATGTTAGTTTCTGGGTGTTTGTCAGATGCAGGGCAGAGCTTTCCCCCTTATCTTTTCAGTGGTGGGTCGTTGGTGCACTGGTCGACTCTTCCCATTCATTCAATTTAACTATGACCAATGGTGGGGGAAGGATGCCTTAGCAACTTAATATGGCGCTGGCAAAATGGGTTTTTTTTTAATTTTTTTTTTGTCAAATGGTGATTCATTGTGTCATCATCCGGTGGAAGGCTGGCTGTACTCTTTTTCTTCAGTTTAAATTGCCTGTACATGAAACAGCGAGGACACAGACGTATGTCCAAGCGCTTAATTTTTCCACGCATCAACTGATCTGCTGATGAAATGCAAGTGACTTAATTGGCATGCGATACATACCAAAAGAAGATGTTGCAAGTTTCCTCATACGTCTCCATGTGATCATGGAGGTGACCACACATCAGGGTTGTTTGGGTACGGAAAAGGGTAATTCTTCTCACTGACGATCCTGAAGCAAAGGAGCTGCTAAATAAGTGGGTGAAATTCTAAAGACAAAGTCACAGTCACACATTGTAAAAAGGTAGAATTGTTTGATCATTGAGAGTCTAAGTTTGCAAACCTGTTAACATCTGAGATACATTTTTGTTTGTAGTTTTGAATTACTATATAGAATATTTGACACCTGTGAGCTGAAAGCCGGCAGCTTTTTTATATTTGAAGGTCAAACCTAAATCAACCGCAAATCAAATATAAATTGCTGGATATTTACAATAGACTATACTGGAATTTTATAACCACTGAAACTAAAACCTTCATTTTTATTAAACACAAATGTTGGCCTTTGGAGTCATGCTGAAGCCTAGTCATGGCCCTGTTAAACCACACCAAACGCTGTGGTAAACCGATTTAGCACATCAATTCCAAATCTGCATCAACAACGGGACGGACCTTGGACTTAAACGAACGAGCGAACGTTGACATTTGAACTCTGTGATTACCTCAGTAGGCCTATAATTATTTGTAGGTTTGCTGTCTGTCAGTCAATTTAGCATGATCCGATTTTTTATTAAAGCCTTTTGTAAAGCCACTATGAAAAATGTGGGGGTTTTGTTACGGAAAATTAGCGGCTATCTTAGATTTGAAGTTTAAAACGTCGATCCTTATGCCCACACTTTCGCAAAGGACCCCTAGACCAATCTATTGAGAATTGCCAAGAATGACTCAACTAATGTGTTTCATAATTTAAATAATAATTATTTTTTAAATTGTAATATTATTTACAATCCTTGTAAAAGTTTTTTTTAAAAATATTAATCAAGTATTCTAATAATTAAATATTATGTATTATAAGTGTACAGTTGAGTATTATCATATTCATGAATGCCAGTAAAAATGAAATAAATGCATGGATATTAAGAGTATTAGTCATTATTAAATATCAGCGCTAAAATTATGATGTGATAATGCCTATGAACTTTTAATTAAAATCAAATCTATCTGAAGGTATATATTGATTTTTGCTTTTTTGTTTTAATATTTTTACAATGAATTTTACATATTATCCTGAAACAACCTAACAAATTGTATTAAAATATTTTTCAAGTATTCTATTGATCTATTGATTAAATATTATGTATAATTTTACGACTGAGTTATCATATTGATAGATATCATGAAATGTCATTTTAAATCAATGTACGCATGGATGAATGTTGGCGCACAACAAATGTACAAGGGTATTATTCATTGATATATATCAGTGGTAAAATTATGATGCGATATGATGGAAATTTTATTTCTAATCAAGTCCATCTGTAGGCATATCGATTTTTTTTACATTTCCACTTTTCACATCTTCGTTGGCTGTCAATCAGCCAACGTGTTGCATTTAAATTACTTGTTCTGACCTTTAAAGCTCTCCATCTGAATGAATCTTCATATTTTCGTTCAATGATTCAATTCAATTCAATTCAACAAAACATATATTTTCTTCCAAATGCACTTAGAAAAACAAAATTACAAATACAAAATACAAAAATTGGAAGAAGGCCAGGTCCCGAGAAGTTGTTTGCAAAAACAAACATCTTGTGATGGGCAGGCCTGAAAAAATAAATAATAAATAAAATAAGTGAATAAATAAATAAAAAAATTAATAAATATATAAAGAAAAAAGAAGAGAAAGCAGCTCAAAACAAAACAGCACGATGAATTTCAACCTCAGAAAGTTTAATAATTTGAGATTAAGTGTTTTTTCAGTTTATTAAAAAAGGCTCTGGCAGAAACAGCATTGGTAATTGAGAATGGTAGATTGTTCCAAATAGAGGGGCCCGTATATCTAATGTTATGTTGGAAATAGTTTGTGTTGTGATAAGGGATGTGAATATCAGGTCTAGAACGCGTATAATAATTGTGAAAAGAGGAATTAGACATAAACATGTTACTTAAATGCTTGGGAAGGATCGAATGCATGGCAGAGTATACAAATATACTTTGCTGGATTAAATTAATATCGTTTAATTTTAGAAAATTTAGATTTTTAGATTTATGGAAAACAGATGAGAAGAATGAGATTGTGGGGGAGAGCGAGATATGATCCTGATAGCCTTTTTTTTGAAGAATTTGAGGTTTGTTGATGTTAGATGGATATGTATTGCCCCAAACGATGTTGCAGTAGTTCAAGTAAGGAAGAATGAGAGAGCTGTAGAGAATACGAAGAACATTACAGGGAATAAAGGAAGAGAGTCTAGAAATGATGCCAAGGCTTTCCCGATATACTCCATCTCGCCGTCTCCGATCATCCTCTCAAATCCTTCTTTCTGTCTCCAAATGCCGTACCAAAACCTACGATCAATGTTCTTTTACTTTTGCTTCTGCCTATTTCTGGAATCAACTTCCAAATTACATAACTTCTTCCAACTCTATTTGCAACTTTAAGTCACAGATTAAGACCTATTAATACCTATTAAGACCTATAATTATTATTATTATTATTATTATTATTATTATTATTTACCTGTCTCTTATACACATCTAGATGTGTATAAGAGACAGTCAGAAGGCTGTACGTTCGTAAATGGATCTGCTGATGGAAGTGACAGACAGTACTGCGAGTGTAATCATTTAACTAACTTTGCTCTACTTATGGTAAGGTATACAATTAGAAAGAAATTGTGATTCGGTCCTTCTATTATTTATAGTATTATTCCACCATTCTCCAAACAGCAGTTGTACAATGCAATTTGTACTGTACACTCCCAATTTACCGTAAACCATACTTTACCGTGTAATCACAACCGCTCAATCACACGTTACCGTAACTACTTTTACCACTTCTACCGTCAAGTAACAATTTGCCAAACGATCACTATTTTGTTAAATTACTAAGCAATCATGATAATTATGTTAAATATTGTTATTATACTGAATAATGTTATTGTCTACTGTAATTTTTAAATGATAACAACCTTAATATTTAATTACCGCATGCAATTCCTCTCTGTGAGCTTCAACAAGCATTCAGGGAAATAGATAAATAAGAGAACATACTACATTGGAAAAATGATAACTACAACATCAGCTAAGCACTGAAGATTTCTACTCAACAGGCTACCCAGTACAAAGAATATCATCATCATCATCATCATCATCTCCATCATCCATCATCCATCATCATCCGGCTAATCATCATCCGTCATCCTCCGGCTAATCATCATCCGTCATCCTCCGGCTAATCATCATCCGTCATCCTCCGGCTAGTCATCATCCGGCTAATCATCATCCATCATTATCCGGATAATCATCATCATCCGTCTAATGATGATCATCATCATCAGCCTAATCATCATCATCATCATCAGGCTAACCATCATCATCATCATCATCAGGCTATTCATCATCATCATCATCAGGCTAATCATCATCATCAGCATCAAGCTAATCATCATCATCATCAGGCAAATCATCATCATCATCATCAGGCTAATCATCATCAGGCTAATCATCATCATCAGGCTAATCATCACCATCATCAGGCTACTGCTGGCCGATGGTCTTCTCAAACTCCATGCTGATCTGTTCTTTGACAGATTTGACCAGTTTGCACCAAGCTTTTTTTTTTGTTTGTCCATGTGGCGTCCATACTGTCAATAAGGAACATATCGTTTGCAAAGTTTTCAAGAAATATATAATGGTATAACCATTATTGTTTTAAATACTTCATTGTAGCTGTGGGACACATACCAACTTGTACAATTCTTTTACGTATCAGAGTTGGTACTGGCGGTAAACTAGTCCTTCAAGCCCACACTAATGTCTTATAAGATAAAGTTAAATTATTGTGTCTAGTACAATAAAAGTTTGTCGTCGTCGTCATCGTCATCAATATTATATTTTATTAAATTCAATATATTTTTATTTCAGTTTTTATATTTTAAGAGGTGTTTTGCCATGTTACTTAATATAATTCTTTTGAATTTTTTACAGGATTTCTATCAAAAACGAGCGCTTCCATCCGCGTCTGGTTTTGTGACTACAGTTGGCTTAGGTTTATCAATTGTATCTCTTTGTGCGACTGTATTTACTTTTTTATCCAACAAGTAGGTACACATTTGTTTCTGAAATATAATGTGTTCCACCAATTTTGTTCGGATACCGCTACTGGATCTATAAGCAGTGGCGTAACGATGGGTCGGGGGCCCTGTGGCTTCTGAGACTGGGGCCTTTTCAGTGGTGGTACCAGCGGGGGAGGGAGAGGAATCTTCACCCGTCGGACAGGCCTGAACCGACTGTCGTCCTGCGCCACGACGATGTCGTCGGATCAAAAATTTAAAAAATATTATTTTCCTATCTAAATAATTTTGATTTTCAATTCCAATTGTTGTCTAAAAGCACAGTTTGGACCATACTAAGCTTTAAAATCTCTACCGTGGACCGTACCATGAATTTTGTTTTAAATCCGGGACTGGGAATGAGGCTCTATTTCCGGGCCCCTTGTGTCGGACGTCATATTTCCCCATTATGCCAGATTATAGTTTATATTTAACTAAAAAAAAAAAAAGAATATCGGTTTAACAGATACAATAGCCTACGGTAATACAGTTACATATTTCTTTCTTTCCCTAAAACGTATTGCTCGAGTAGATTCATCCAAACAACTTAATTATATCTTCAAAAAATTCATTTAGCTTCGTTATTGTATAGATGATAAACATTCATTTTTTTTTTGTTGTAAAAACTAATAAGAAACGGAGTACTTACTCAGGACGTTTTCGATCTCTAATAGAGATCTTTATCAACTGACTGCAAGATGGAATTGCAGCTTGGTCACAACGTCATCTGTTGCTGACGTCATACGCTTCTTCCGTGCAGTAATTTAAGCAAATCTTTAATTCCTAACATAGGGGACATCAGCGAGCGAAACTGAATTATTAAAATGCAGTTCATTATTCGGTAAGACGCTAAGAGAAAAATGGGTGGTAAATTTATCTAGGAGGTAAGTTATTTATGATGAACTCTTCGTTTTACAAAGGGTTTGAACTACGTGGCTACCCAACAGCTATGCTCATTGTTGAACTTATACTAGCGGCCGAAAAAGCGGCTGATCTGGTTCCGGCTGTAATTAAATCCACCAGCCTTCCATCACCTAATTTATCACGTAATGAAAGAAAAAGCATTAAACGACATAAAAAACATACACCAATCTTTATTCTTCCGTCCAGCGGATAAAGGACGGTCTACAGTCATCGTAAACACGGATGTTTACAAAGATAAAGTAGGAATTATGTTAAATGACACGGATACATATGAACCGGATAAACGTAATCCAACACAGAATTACAACGAAATGTAGTTAACATCTTCGACAGGTTGCTGAAAGAAATATCAATAGTAGAGTAAAAGATTATCTCTGCTCCACCACAGAAATTGTACCCAGATTTAATGCCTTCCAAAAATACACAAGCCAAATTGGCCACTAAGACATAGTCGACAATATTAACACCGTTTTCTACACAGTTGCTCAATTCCTGACCAACATCCTGAAACCATTGGTAGGTCCTACACAGCACCATGTAAATTATTCAGGAGGATTGGCTAAGGAATTACAAAGTACAACAGTAGAGCCAAGCGAAACAGTTGTCTTGTTTGAAGTAGTGTTACTATTCACGAAAACTCAAGTCGAAGAGGCCCTGAAAGTAGACATAGTTTACTTAACAACAGATACGACACTTAAACAAAGATCTAAACTACTGGTGACAGACATAATGGACTCTTGGAGCTTATTGTGAGTAAAACCTATTTTTCATTCAGCGGAACATGTATAGGCAAAAACAAGGCATTGTTATGGGAAGTTCCATCAGTCCCATATGGGCTAATTTGTAAATGGTTAGAACCGCATGCCGAGATAGTAGTGGGAAAGTCATAGTTGAATCACAGAATAGTCCATAAAAAGAGTTATGGAAAAGCGAAAAATAGAAAGGAAAGGACAAAAGCTACACAACGACAAAACACCAAGCAAAGAAGAAGTGTAGGAATTCCGTATATGAAAGGAATGGCAGAACGAATTCGACGTAGTCTTCCCACACACAATGTTGCCACCTACATTTTGCTACAGAATAAAATAAAATAACAGCCTCGTCCACCCAAAAGACACTATTGAGAAAATGGACACTTGTGGTGTAGTTTACGAGGTCGCATGTTTAAATTTTTCACAAGTTTACATATGAGAGATAGGAAGGGCATTACAAACGACCACAAAGAAAAGATAGTAATGAAAGTAATGAAAGGGTTTCCAGAGCAACATCACCAATAATGAAATCATGTACCAAACTGGGAGGTAAAATACTGAGAGGCAAAATACTTGCAAAGCAATCAAAACGGAAAGAGAGTCAGATCACCCTTTACACATAAAAAGAAACAAAGATAAAACCATGAACAGGTATTAGGTTGCACATCCCAGCTAACAAAATTACGTTATAATAACTTTACAATTTGGGATAAAAACGTTATGTAGAACCATATGTACGTACTTATAAACTAATTTCACAACGTCACAATGTTTGAACGTTCTTACAACGTTCTGTGAACGTTATTTTGTGACATACCAAACCATAACGTTCGCGAACGTTATAAGAATGTTTTGTGTTTGCTGGGATGAACTTTCTAATCTGTACAATGACTTAATTACATCATCACCTGGCCAGGCCCCGTACACCCTCCAACCTACAACTGGAAGGAGCGTACGATGGCATCTACAGATGACATCATGACCAAGCTGCAATTCAATCTAGCAGTCAGTTGATAAAGATCTCTGTTAGAGATCAAAACGTCCTCAGTAAGTACTCCGTTTCTTACTAGCTTTTACGAAAAAAAAAGAATTTTTATCATCTAAACATAATTGTATTGACTACGTTTAGTAAATGGTTAGTTTTAATCAATAAAAGAATAATAAATAATTATTTATATTTTTTAAAGAAAATTTCGGAGGAGTGATTCAAAGAAAATTCTATGTCAGTTGTGTCTCTCTTTGCTCGGTTTGTACATTGTCTTCCTAGCTGGAATTGACAGAACTAACAACAGCGGAGGATGTACTGCCGTTGGAGCTTTGTTGCATTACTTTTTGTTATCGTCAATTTTCTGGATGAGTGTTCAAGCTGTTAATATGTACTATTTATTTGTGAAGGTCTTCAATACTCATGTACCACACTTTTTCCTGAAAGCTTGTTTATTTGCATGGGGTAAGATTAGACCCAATTATCATAATGCTTATATGTATGTATCTATGCCTTGGCCTATTTTATAAATCAAAGATTGCAGGTTTTCATAACGTAATAATAATAAAACAGGAATTGATATCGTGTTTTTAATATTTTCTTTAACTTCAGGTTTGCCAGTGGTAATTGTTTTGGTGTCTACATTTATTGATATTGATAGCTATGTTGATTCAAAAACTCAGTAAGTTGACCTGAAAACAAGTTGAAATACTACTTAAATTCGAGTTCATTCTTTATAACAAATTATTCCTTCATGTTTTAAATCCTCTCGAGTACCGAGTAGAGAAATCCATGCTGTGTCCAATCTTAAGTGGATATCCACAACGTCGCAACGCACAATGTGTTTTAGCTCGAGAGCTGAAATGTCAAAAGAGAGAGACGAGATGTTTGATCCGTTTTGTCCAGTATGCAGTATGGCCCAGGTACACGTCATAAAACGCAGTACACTCTTCCGTAGGAGTAGGGGATTGTTCAGTTGTGTACTACTGTAAAAAAAATACTTATATCGTCAACACTTGTTCTGTATCTAGTTTTATCTTACAAAATTATTTAATCTATTTGAGTATTATTTATTCTATTATGACTAATAATATATTACAAAACTTCATTTTGATTATCGAAAAGTGATGGATTCCTATGTATATGTGTATATG